ATTAAATATAAATCCCAGAAACTAGACAGAAACCAAGGCCCTGAGCCCAGGGCAGCTATGCTGGGTGAACTCTTCTAGGAGCTGCCTTGCCACTCATCCTTCCATCCTTCCCCAGTTCTTAACTTTGAGCCATAAAGAGTACCAGATCTGGGTGAAAGGGATACTTTTATGCAACCATAAGACAAAATCCTGAAATGCCAAATGCCTGCTTAGTAGCTTTGGAGAGGTGCCCTTACTGAACATTCTAGAAGGGATGGCCAGATCTTCAAGGGTCTCCTGTTCTTTTCAGGCTCCTAATGTAACATCAGCCATTTTTAGATTGACTCTGTTCTCATACCTTCCCAGTGGCTTCAAGTGAGCCGAGAAACTGACACTGCGTGCCCTTTGTCTTCCTCTAATTCTGCAGGTGGAGGTTGGTGGTCTAGTTTCCTTTTTGAGATACTGTTTTCATTTTTGAGACTCTTTGTAATAAAATGGTATGTTTCTATACAAAAAAAATTAACTGTTTAGACCCCATGTCTCCCCACTGCCTGTCATAGTGGAAAGATGTCTTTTCTCTTGTTGAAAACTTTACTCATCTGTTTGCTGGATTTGGTTATCTATCTTCCTTTTCAGTATCTCACCCCTTCAGAAAGGCTCTCTCTTCTGTAACCAACTGAACCTTGTCTCTACTGACTCCTTTTCCTCAGCTTTTATACATACTTGAATCTCCTCCACTAAAAAAGACATCCTTCAACCTGGTAATCCCCTTTCAGTGCTGCCATCTTGCTCCTCCTTTGTAGTGAGCCGTTTTGAAGAGTATCTACATTTAAACCATCACCCATTCCTCACCAATCCATTTACCTTCTGGTTCCTAATGCCACCACTCCACTGAAACTTCCCCCAGCAAAGTCCCCCATCTCTATTGCTAAACACACGGGTTACTTATTTAGGTGTCACCTTATTTGACCATTTGGCCATATTTGACAGGACAGCAGTTTCTCCTCTTCAAAGAACTCTTTCGTTGCCTTCCATGTCACGCTCTGCGGGTTTTTCTTTTTGGATTCCTTTTCTTTCTAACCTTTAAGTACTAGTGTTCCTTGAGGCTGCACTCTGAGACCTCTTCTATTTATTCTTAACACTATTCATTCTTCCTGGAGAATCCCACCCACCCCACAGCTTTTATACAGCATCATCTGTAGGCTAACGATTCCTGAGTCGCAATCCCTAGCCCAGATTTCTCTTGAGCCTCAGAGTAAAGTATCAGAGTATTTACAGTACATGTTTATTGAGATATCCCATAGTGCCTCAAACTCAGCTTAAGCTGTCTAAAACCGAGCTCCATCTTTCTCCATCCGTTCTTCCCTCTGTGCGTTTGATATCTCAGTGAATGATACCAACCTCTCCATTCAGTTGTCTGAATAAGAAATTTGGGCATTGTCTTCAATTTCTTCTTCTTTTCATCTCTCCCCCATATCCAGTCATGTAGATATATGGATAGCCATCCTTCATAATCATGAATTGTGATTATGAAGTTCCATAAAACTGCATAAATCATTAAGTTTTGTTCATTTTTACCTGCAAAATATTGAAAATGTCTTTTGTTTCCCTATTGCCACTGTGTACCTTTAAATTGGGGTGTCATCATCTCTCTCCTAGATTTAGCTGGAGCCTCTTACATGATTTATATGCCTCTAATCTTGAACCCCTCTAACTCACTCCCTATGTACTGGCCAGAGACACTTTTCAAAATCATACCATTGAGAGATAACCATTACATGCTGGTTTTGCCTGAGGGCCTCTTTACACCTGCATTTTCTCTCCTGGTTCTTTGTCTTCCTTCCACTTCCTTTTTGCGTGATTAACCCGTATTTATTCTACCTGAATCTAACTTTTTACTTACTTAGTATTCTACTATTTATTAATCTTATTCCACTTGTTATTATTTTCAAACTTGTAATCTTAAATTTGAGAACATCAATAAGGACTTAAATCGATTTGAGGAACTAGAAGTATTTTGTGTCTAGCTCATGTTTGTTATTTTTCTTTTTTTTCTTTCTCATTCATTATGATAACAACAAATGTCCAAAGAACTCCCATTAAAAAGTAATGTGTTAATAAAAGGACAGTCAGATTCCTTTGTTTGTACTGATACGTGTGTGGAGGGGTAGGATTTGTTATGGATTTACTTTATATATGCTTAAAGACTTTTAAGCATCAGCTGAGCTACTACTTCCGTATGCCTTCCTTACTTCCTCTGCTTGTGCAGCTGTAGAATTGAATCAATAAAGGTGTCGAGTAGACGGCTGGATTGGAGCTTGATCAGTGTGGGAGGAACTGTGTGTACTGTATAACTGTCCTTAAGTAGTTCAATATGTTCTCTGAGGGTTTTCTATGTATTCACCTTCCAACCTAGGAAATTCTGCCAACAACAAAATTTTATTTCTACAGATGCTGGTGCCTGACTCTTGCTCAGGCTTCTGTCAGACATAATGTTTGAGAGGGGAGAGGGAAGGAACAGGAAAGGCCTTAGTATTTTGAGAAATTGTGTGGCAACTTTTGCATCTCTGCTTTGCCCGTTTTTTTTTTCCTCCTGATGTTCACCCACCCCAACACTTTTCCCTTATTGATGAATATCACTAAAGACACATGGTAGAATTATTTGTAGTAGGTCTCTAGTTTTATTTAAAGTAGTTGAATAAGGCACTTAAATTACCATTGCCCGAAGTGGTGAAAAGAAATCAAGTTAGTGATAATTTTTTAAGAGTTACATGTCTGCATAATAGTGTTTTTTAAATATATGAATTCTCTAGAAAGTTTAATTTAAAAATGTATCATGTGGCTGGGCATGGTGGCTCATGCCTATAATCCCAGCACTTTGGGAAGCTGAGGCAAGCAGATCACTTGAGCCCAGGAGTTCCAGGCTGAGCAATATAGTGAGACTCTGTCTTTAAAAAAAAAAAAAAAAAAATCATGGGATGATGACCTGGAAAATCCTCCAATTCCGCACAGCAATACTGTTAGAGATTTCGGTTATTAGAGATCTGCCCTGGATTTCTTATTTTCTAGTGATTAGCTTTAGGTAGATATTAATAAATGAGGAGAAGGTACCTGGGCAGTCAAGAAATTAGCCTTCAAAAGGTATATATATGGGAAGTTATTTTTCTAATTAGTGGAATATTGGCAAGTAAAGTTTAAAGATAGAGAACGTACTTTATAGGACTTGGAAAAAGCAATTAATATATCAGCACCTAGAATGAAAACCTAAAATTCTGTAGTAATAAAAAGTGAACAATCTTTCTAAATTAATACAAAATTATTCAAATAAGTTTCTTCCAGTTCCCCATTGCCTGACCATGAGTATAGTAAATTCTCTACTAGATTGCTTTTTTTTTTGGTGGTGGTGGTAGTGGTGGTAAAAAACACCTTACATATATTTACCCTCTTAACAACTTATAAGTGTGTATTACAGTGTCATTAACTATGTGTACATTGTTGTACAACAGATCTCCAGAACTTTTTCATCTTGTGTGACTAAAACTCTGTACTCGTTAAACAAATCCCCATTTCCCCCTCATCAGCCCCAGCAATCACCATTCTGTTATACTTTTTGTTTCTGTGAGCTTAACTACTTTAGATAATCCGTGTAAGTAGAATCATGCAGTATTTGTCTTTCTGTGATTGGCTTATTTCACTTAGCATAATGTCCTCAAGGTTCATCCATGTTGTAACATGTAACAAGATTTTTTTTAAGTCTGAATAATATTTCTTTGTATTTATGTACCACATTTTCTTTATCTATTCATTTGTCAATGTACATTTAGGTTACTTCCACATCTTGGCTTTTGTGACTAATGTTGCAGTGCATATAAGTTTCTGAATATCTCTTTGATATTCTGCTTTCGTTTTTTTTGGGTAAATACCCAGAAGTGGGATTACTGGATCATATGGTAGTTCTATTTTTAATTTTTTGAGGAACCTCTGTACTGTTTTCCGTAGCAGCTGCACCATTTTACATTTCTGCCAGCAGTTCACAGGGGTTTCAGTTTCTCCACATGCTCACCAACACTTGTTGTTTCCTGTTTTTTTGACAGTGGCCATCCTAATGAGTATAGTGGCCATCCTAATGAGTATAAGGTGATAGCTCACTATGGTTTTGAGTTCCCTGATGACTGATGATGTTGAGTATCTTTTCACACAGCAAGCATGCTTTTTGACCACTTACGTATCTTTTTTGGAGAAATATCTATTAATTACTTCGCCCATTTTTATTGAGGTTATTTGTTTTTATGTTATTGAGTTGCAGGCATTCTTTACATATTCTGAATATTTACTCCTTATCCAGTATATGTTTTGCCAATATTTTTCCCATTCTCTAGCTTGCCCCCTACAAGGTTGCCTTTTAACAGCCCAGGACTGTCTGTTATTGTCACAGCCTTAGCTTAAATCTGACTCTGGTATTTCACATCAACCCCAGCTTGATTCTTACCTCATTCCTAACTCTAGACTTAAATTTTGACTGCCTTCCCTTTCCACATTGTTTTAGCTATCTTTATTGATAGCTTTACTGCTAACCCTGATTTTCATTCCCCATGACCTCTTCTTTGCTAATATTTTAATAAGTGATGATTTTAAAATAAGGCATATGTTTGGCATAAACCAGGAAAAAATTATAATCTCCATATTAATCTTAAATGTAAAAATTTAAAGCAGAAGTTAAAATCTGCTTTATAAGAAGTAAGTTCTTATGTTAAAATAACCAAATTTGAAAATATTCCCTTTGAAGGAATAAGAGAGGCATGGTATTTTGAATCAATACATTTGGTGAGTGTGTAGGAAGACAGTCATAGTTGTTGTGTGTGTCCCAAAGTCTTACACCTCTTTTTGGCCCACTAATCAAACTAGAAATGTCACATGGAACTTGTTGAGTGAACCAGTAATTTTACATTTGTTAAAATAGAGTTATAGTAAGTGGCTGAATGTTCTGATTGACCACACATAATGTAGAGTTTATTTCCTAGCAAATAATGAAAGATCGATGGATGAATGTTGGTCATGAAGAAGAAGAACTAAAGCCATATACTGAGCCTGATCCAGATTTCAATGACACAAAAAGAATAGGTAAGTATTTAAACATGGTAAGAAGTACTGTCCCTAGGCAGCAAGTAGGAGTTCTTTAGTGTACCAAAATAGTGTTTAAAAGTATAAATAGGAAGCAATTTTTATTTGAAAAATACTTGCATTATCATTTTAATGGTAATACACTAAAAATTATACATTTCAAGTTCTCTAATTTGTTCTCATATATATTATGGTCTAATTCAATGTTTGACAATGATGATATAAAACTTTTTTTTTTTTTTTTTTTTTTTTTTGAGACGGAGTCTCGCTCTGTCGCCCAGGCTGGAGTGCAGTGGCGCAATCTCGGCTCACTGCAAGCTCCGCCTCCCGGGTTCACGCCATTCTCCTACCTCAGCCTCCCGAGTAGCTGGGACTACAGGCGCCCGCCACTGCGCCCGGCTAATTTTTTTCTATTTTTTAGTAGAGACGGGGTTTCACCATGGTCTCGATCTCCTGACCTTGTGATCCGCCCGCCTCGGCCTCCCAAAGTGCTGGGATTACAGGCGTGAGCCACCGCGCCCGGCCGATGATATAAAACTTAATGTAAATAAATTGAATTCTTTACTTTCAATTATGCCCAGCAGGAGGAATGGCTGATATGACTATCAGTACTTATCAGACTGATAAGTATCAGCGAACATAGCATGTATTTTAACCAAAGATATAGAGGCACTGAATTAAGAGTTGAACACTTTGGCTCTCCCTTTCTTTTTCTACTGTCTTAGCAATGTTTATTCTCCCTCGTCACTCGTCCTGCTACTGCCCATACCCAGCCAGAGCTGTCCTTCTAACTTGTTCTTTTCATTTCGCAATCCCTTCCCAAAGCCATCATTTAGTCTCAACTGAGTCATCTCAACTGTGTTCCTATTTGACTTGAGGGCAGAGTGGCAGGGGAGAGCATTTTAGGGTATTAGGAACCTGATCAGAAAAACCATGGAAATTCAGATCTCTCAAAGAAGAGTCACCCTACTGCAAATCAGAAAGCAGAAATTGTTAAGAGACGAAAGAAACCACTGCACGAGTAGCTGAGGATGAGTTGAGAGAAAGAGAATTTTGCATGTAACAAAGACTGACATGGTCTTAGACTGGACAAAGAAAGTTAGCTCAGGAATGTATGAGGCAATGAGAAATTAAGTGGGCCCATTAATATATTACCTATGATGTAGATAATTTCTGCATGTAAAAGTATCATTGTACAATATCTGTGAAAATATGGTATCCATAGGTTAATAGTCCAGAAGTTTTTTAAACTACACTAAATTTTCATGACTAAGTTTTCATATTCAAAGTTGGCAGACTTGCCCATGTTTGTTGATTTGTTTATGAAAATAAAACCATTTTCAGAAAATTTCTCTTTTTTAAATTTCTAGACATTATGGTCACCATGGGCTTTGCACGAGATGAAATAAATGATGCCTTAATAAATCAGAAGTATGATGAAGTTATGGCGACTTATATTCTTCTAGGTAGAAAACCACCTGAAGTAAGTTTTTCACCTTTTCAAATTACTGTGAATTATTTTTTGAGCTTATATATTAGTAAATATATTCTTTGTGGAATCAAAAATAATATAAAGATCCTACTCTAACATTCTTATTTATTGAAACTCAAAAATCACGATGTTAAATTACAAACTGGTTTTATTTCTGGGTACCAAGAGAGATTTTATGAAAGAATAGGCCTACTGTCTTTCTTAGCTCCAGGAGCCACCATTCACAGCCTGGCCTTTGAGAATGGCCTCCCCCATAGCTTGTGCATCCAAATGTAACAGTCCCACCAAAGGTAATATGGTTATTCCAGGTGTACAGAAAAGACAATGACTGAAACGTGAGGAAGTGATAGCATTTAAAATAAAATGTATGTCTTAAAGGATTGTTAAAAGAGGTAACTCCAGGAAAGGTTATGTAATGACATTTTGCCTTATAAAGTGTCAAGTGACTGATGCTTTCAGTTGGGAATTCTCAAGGCCAGGAGAACTATAATAAGGAGATATACTCAGAAAATAACTGTATACAAATGGTGAACTATGTTAGTCAGTTTTGCATTGCTATAAAGAAGTACCTGAGACTGGGTAATTTATAAAGAAAAGCAGCTTATTTGACTCACAGTACTGCAGGCTCTACACAAAGCATAGTGTTGGCATCTGCTTCTGATAAGAGCCTCAGGAAGCTTACAGACATGATGGAAGGTGAGGGGGAGCCAGCATGTCACATGGCAAGAGGGAGCAGGTGAGAGGTGGGGGAGGTGCCACGCTCTTTTAAATAACCAGATCTAGGGTGAACACATAGAGGGAGAGCTTGTTACCATGAGGACAGCACCAGGCTATTCATGAAGGGTCCACCTTCTTGACTCACATACCTCCCTCTAGGCCCACTCCAACATTGGAGGTCACACTTCAACATGAGATTTGGAGGGGACAGAGCATCCAAACCGTATCATGAAGCATAAAAGCAAATGATTCTTTAGCAAAACAAATATAAAGGCTATACATGGAGAGTCCAGAACAGATTGCAGGACATTAACAATTTATTGGAAATTAGACATCTGTGGGAGGTATTTTAGAGACAAAAAGCTGAAATTATTTATAATTCCGTAGTAACTGTTAATGGAGCAGTGCATTCCAGCTGGCATATATTGAACCTTTATTGTACCAGAAACGATGCTGGGTACTGTGAATAGAAAGACGAGAAAGTCTCTGCTCTCAAGGAGCCCTTAGTCTAGAGGTGAGGCGAGCAGTTAATAGTATGGTACAGTATGTGTTCTGATTTTGGGGATGCACAGCATACTCTGGGAGCATATAGGTGGACATGTACCTACAGTAGGCTAAGGTCAGACCCACCAAGGCAGGTCTGTGTGACATGTAAGAAGTAGAATTAACAGTAGTACTTGGGGACCAGTTAGAAATAAGAGATAAGAGCCCATGAGATTTCCAATATGGATGACTGTGTAAGCACATTTGCCAAGATAGGAAAGGTACAGATTTCAGGGGGAAGATAAGAAGTTCAATTTGGGATGGTTAAATTTGAGATTCTGTTGGATGGAGCTGTCTATTAGGCATTTGGATATATAGATCTGAATTAGGGGGAGAGATTTGAATAACAGATTTGGAGTCTTCATTAGAGGGGAACACATTGCACATAGTAATGTGCCAGGGACTGTTCTAAGGACTTTACAAATATTAATTAATCTAATCCTCCCAGTGAACCTACCAGGTGGGTACTATTATAATGGAAGAGAATCTTTAGTGGAGACATTAACAGCTAGAGATGTGGTATCAAAGAAGCCAAGTCAAGAGAATTTTAAGTGGGAAATAGTACAAATGGTTATTTCTAAAGGCTTTGAACTGTTTCTACTTAGATTTTAAAGTACACTCCTGAGGTCTTTAATTTTCCTGTTAATTTAAATATGAAAGAAGCTGTAATTTTATAAGTATATAACCGTACCATGCATGAATTTAAATGAAGTGTGAATTGTATCAAATATAAATGGATGAGGCTACTGGTAAGTAGTAAGAGCCTGAACTTTGGAGCCAGCTTCACTGGATCTGAGTCCCCCCTGCCCTGTCCCAGCACAACCACTAACTGTGCAACTAAGGCAATTAATTTTCTGTGCCTCAGTTTTCTTATCTATAAAATGAGGGCAATAATAGTGCTTATCTTTTAGGATCATTGATAGTGTTAAATGAATGAGCACTTATAAACTCGGAACAGTTTCTAGTGGATTATTATGGGCTTACAAACTCGGAACAGTTTCTAGCGGATTATTATGTGCTCTGCATTAGTTGTTTATCATCATCAGTATTACTCTGTGATTTATCACTAGTATTATCTGTATATGAATTTAGATTTCCTATTGGGATGCCAGTGATTCCATCAAAAGTTTGCTGGCAGCAAACAACTTGTATGTTACAGAGAGAGGGATAGTGTGTCAACCCGCAGTTTACCATGCTGAGTTCTAAGTAGATACGGTTTCCTGATCAGAAACAGTAAACTATATATATATATTTTTTTTGCAAATGTGGAGAAAACAAAACAAACAAATCTATGTGTATGTTTATATGCATACATATGGGTATATACATGTGTGTATATTTAAAATTTTAGATTTTATTTTAAGTTTGAATCTCAATAATGCCCCTTAACTTTTTTAACCTCAGTTTTTCCATCTGTAAAGTGTAGGTTAATACATCATAGGTTTGTTGTGATGATTAAATAAAGTAACATATAGAAAGAGCTTAGCACAGTGCCTAGTCTATAATAACCATTCAATAATTGGTAACTGTTCTTTGGTATTTTGACTAAACTAAGGATTTGTACAAGATAATAGAAGATTATGAGTAGTCACTAAAGCATATTCTATCCAGTTCACTCCTTTTCCTGCTTGCCAACTTAAAGTTCTAGGCCCAATACTGCACTGTTTTTTCAGTTTGGATTACTTCTTATATAGCTTTAAATCATTTAGAAAATCAAAAGTGCAGTATTTGTGCAAACTTTTTTTTTTTTTGCTTTAAAATCCTTGTGGTTTTTCTTCTTATAGTTTGAAGGTGGTGAATCATTATCCAGTGGAAACTTGTGTCAGAGGTCCCGGCCCAGTAGTGACTTAAACAACAGCACTCTTCAGTCCCCTGCTCACCTGAAGGTTCAGAGAAGTATCTCAGCAAATCAGAAGCAGCGGCGTTTCAGTGATCATGGTAGGGGAAAAAGTCAAATAAGTGAAACAACACACGGGTTCTACCTAAACTTGTATTTTTAAAGCATTGTACATTCACGTCTCTATGTACTTGTGTCATCTAGTTCTCACAGACTTATATTACTGAATTATAAATATAATCCCTTTTACAGGGACTGACCTGATTTTTGAAATCACAATTTAATCTTCGTTCAGAGTTTAAAGCATGCAAATGTGGATAATTTTAATAGAGTTTTTGTTTGTGAGCAGAAAATAAATCAGTTGTTTTTCAGCTCATTATGTTATTTTTTTTTTTTTTTTTAATTGTAGTTGGTCCATCCATTCCTCCTGCTGTATCATATACCAAAAGAGCTCAGGCTAACAGTGTGGAAAGTGAACAGAAAGAAGAGTGGGACAAAGATGTGCCTCGAAAACTTGGCAGCACAACAGTCGGATCAAAAAGCGAGATGACTGCAAGCCCTCTTGTAGGGCCAGAGAGGAAAAAATCTTCAACTATTCCAAGTGTGAGTAAATACTCTGGTATATTGCAATTTATTGTAATAACTTGTTTCAGGGTTATGTGTAAAATTTTTATCTTTCATTTTTTTAATGATTGAAAATTTTAAAGGGAATTATACTTTAAAGAACATATAAAAGGGACCACACTTCTCATAAATGCAAGTTAAAAACAACAAAAAAGAATTCATTTTTGCATGTATAACACTTAACACAAAATGGTACATTAAACTTTCCCGCTTCATTTTCCTTTTTATAATGTTTATTTAATATCATATTGGCACATTTCATTTTTATTTACAAATAAGCCGTTTAATGAAGGCAGACTCAGGTAATAATTTATAAAGTTGCTTCACATTATTCACTTAAAAACAGCAAACCATAGAAATTATATAATGGGAACTAGAAGAGGTTTGAAATGTTCTCCCATAAGGCAGCAGGGAAGAATAGAGATAGAACATATAAAAGAAAACTAAGATATATGAAAGGTAGAAATAGAATTGGTAACATTCAGATAATAGGTGTTTTGAAAGGAAAGGGAGCAAAATGAAGGAAGAGAAATAGTTAAAGAAATAATAACAAAAAATAAAGAGGGAAGATTTCATTTTGAAAGGACCCAGAGTCACAAATAGAAGCCAGAAAGAAAATCTATTCCTGGACTCTGGAAGTGGAATTTATAGATACCGAAAACAAGGTGAAGAATATTTTAAAGATTCCAGAGTCAGAGCGAAGAAAACCTTAAAACAAACAAGATTCTGTAGTCCCAGCTACTCAGGAGGCTGAGTCAGGAGAATAGCATGAACCTGGGAGGTGGAGCTTGCAGTGAGCTGAGATCATGCCACTGTACTCCAGCCTGGGCAACAGAGCGCGACTCCGTTTCAAAAAAAAAAAAAAAAAAAAAAAACAAGGAACAAGATTCAGATTGACCTTAGGTTTCTCAACAGCAACATGGGTACAGTAAAGTAAAGGGGAAAATATTTTTAAACTATTGAAAGAAAAGCACATTGAGCCTAGAAATTTTATCTAGCCGTGTTGACATTTAAATATGAAGGTACAAAAACTATGCATGTTCTTTGGCATAAAATGTCTCAACTGTTTGACTACACAGTGACCATTTGAAAACACGTTAGTTGGAGGACGTATTCTTACAGGAAGAGAAATGAATCTAGAATGTTGCTGTAAAATATATAGGAGTTGAAAGTAATCAACTCACTGAAGTATTGTATGTAGTAACATAAGCAAAAAGAGGAAAATAATGAAAATTCAGAATCAAAACTCTGGATAGTATCCAGGGCATAAGGATAGACATGGAGATAACTACTTTAAGAATTGATGGATATAACCGCTTAGCTTCCACCTGATCTGTTTAGAAATGATTGAACTATAATGGGACTTATATTTGCCTTAGACGACAGTTTCCAGTGTAATCACCCTGCATAGCAGAAAGAAATAATTGGTCCTGTACTTTCTACCACTTAATATTAACCTGTCATTTGACTGAACTGAGTGTTACTTTCCCATGAACATACTCAGCTTTGTCTATCTCCATGCCTGTCTTTATGTAGTGCCCTTGCCTAAACATTCCCATTACATTATGAAAATTCCATTTCCATAGATCATTTCAAGTCTTGTCTCCTGGATAGAATCTTTTATGGCCGAATACTCCAAAACTCATCAGCTTTTTCAATTGCTTATCCTGTCATTTAGCTCTTAGCTGTTTATATGCTGTCTTGTTTCATTCACTGTTATTTTCCCATGTAAACCTTATCTCCCCAAATTTATAATCTGTTGTATATTGACACAGTAGCTTTCTCAGAGTCATTAGTGCTGAAGCATGTAGTGTGTACTCAAAGCATATTTATTAAAGAAGGCATAAAAATTAAGGGATTAGTTTAAATTCAAATTAATTATGCCATACTTATTTATCGTTTTTTTAAAAAAACATAAGCTAAAAGATTTTGATAGAGAAATTCTGTTCTTAGCCACATAATACTATAATATATTGTTATTTACTGTTTTAATTTTGGTAGTTTGAGAAACCAAAGTAATGTGTTTTGTTTAATTTTAGCATTTCAGGAGTTTCTAAAGTAAAATTGATCATCTCTTCTTCCCTATCCATTTCCTTTTAGTCTGAACTCCTAATATAACTAGTGCTAATCGTTTAGAATGAATTCTTCTATAGATTTTCCTTCGTTAAAGAAAACAGACCAGGTGCAGTGGCTCATGACTATAATCCCAGCACTTTGGTAGGCTGTGGAGGATGGCTTGCTTGAGACCAGGAGTTTGAGACCAGCCTGGGTAACCTAGTGCAACTTGATTTCTACAAAGTATTTTTAAATTAGCCTGGTGTAGTATTGCATGCCTGTAGTTCCAGCTACTTGGAAGGCTGAGGAGGGAGGATGACTTGAGCCCTGGAGTTTGAGGCTGCAGTGAGCTATGAGCTATGGTTGTACCACTGTGCTCTAGCCTGGATGACAGAGTGACAGACCCTGTCAAAAAAATAAAAATAAATAAGTGAATGAATATGTACATAGAGAATTATTTTATTTTACTTTTTCATAAAAATGAAATCATACTATGTAACATTTTAATTTTTTTCACTTATAATAGTTTGGGGATCCTTCTAGATCAGAACATCAAGATCTTTTTAATAGATGCATATTATTTCATTAGTATTAACAGATAGATATATCATAATTTATTCAACCTTTCTTTTGGTGCAGTGTTCACAGTTTTTCATTTCTCCAGAGTACACATCCTTATACATTTATGTTATTGGTATACTTCTTATAGAGACATTCTCAAAAGTTCCATCTCTAGGTCTATGTGAGAACACTTCTTTTTAACCTCAGCCGCAGAGGCAGGCTCCTCATGCTCCTCAGTCCATGACACAGTCGCCCTTGGTCTGTGCAGCCCCATCCCCACTCCCACTCACCCCACCTAAAGCCTCGGCTCTGATGTGTCTTAGTGTACTTGACTATGTGTATATCCTTGGAATATATACATTTAAATTTTTAACAAATGCTACCAAAGTAATTTTCCAAATGGTTGGGGTAATTTAGAGAGTAGTTATTTCTCCACAAACTCATCAAAGATTGATATTATCATTTTTGCCAATCTGAAGGGCAAAAAGAAAAAAAAGGTATCCATTTGTTTTCAGTTTGCATTTTCTTGTCTATTGGTGACATTGATGGTGTGGCTCACAAAACCTAAAATGTTGACTATATGACTCTACAGGAAAAGTTTGCTAATCACTGCTTTAAAGCCAAAATACACAGCTGTAATACCTTTTCTCTTGAGGTAATTTTTAGAAAGTACTTCAGCATTTACAATTCAAGCCCTGTAATAGTGTAAAATATTGCCTGAACAAATGAACATTTTTAGCAGTGTCAGTAGAATAGAATATAATGGAAAATATTAAATCTATTCAAATGGCATGAAATGGTCCCTTCCTTTCAGATGGAAAAAGAAATAGTGCCCATAACATGCATAGGTAATTAATAGGTGATAGTACATTTAATGTTTATAAAATCAGAATTTTCTTAGTCAATAGTAAAAGCTCTTGTTGTAAGTATGATTCTATTGACAGTATTATTTAATATTAGTTTAGTATCTTGACTCAAGGATGATACTGGCAGATGATCTTTAAAATTGACATTGAAATTTAAAGTTAATAGACAGCATGGGGAGAGTTTTGAGTTAAATAGTTAAATAGAATAATGGTTGGATAAATGTTTTGGTTAATTATCTGAGTCATCTGTTTTATTGTTCATCACCCACAACCATCACAGACTAGAAATGAAAGGAGTCTCTCTTAGTTCATTTGTGTTGCTATAACAGAATGCCACATAATGGATACTTTATAAAGAAATTTCTTTCTCATAGCTCTGGAGGCTGGGTAGTTCAATATCAAGATGCCAACTTTTGGTAAGGGCAATCTTGCTGCATCACCCCATGACATAAAGCAAGGTCAAGAGAGCACACGCAAGAAAATAAGAGGGGGCCAAATATGCTTTTTATAACAAAGCCACTCTCGAGATAACTAACCCACTTACACAAGAATTCATTTGTGAGACCAGAGCCTAATCACCTCTTATCAAGCCACACCTCCCAACACTTTTGCATTGGGGATCAAGTTTCTAACACAGGAACTTCAGGAGACACATTCAAACTGTAGCAGAGTATTACTATTTGTAAGTAAGGTGCAGGAAAAACAAACTTTATGTTTTCCTTCTAGAAATTCCCATCCAAAAGTTACATGTGGGAATATAGGGAAAACCCTCGACTAGCCTAGAAACTTGGGAGCTAAGTGTTGAGTTTTGAAGACACAAATATGTTGTGCTGTTTTTGAATCAAGAAAACAATAAAACTTGTAAAGGTGTTTTCCATATTATCTATCACATGTATGAGCAGTACAAAATATAAAATGATGTAAACCACTATGATATGAATCTTAGTGCCCCCCGCATCCTCTGCCAAAATTTATATGTTAAAATTCTAACCCTAAAGGTGGTAGTATTAGAAGATGGGGCCTTTAGGAGATGATTAGGTCATGAGGGCCCTCACGAATGGGATTAGTGCCCTTATAAAAGAGGCCCAAGGGAGCTTGTTCTACGCTTCTACCATGTGAAATCACAACAAAAAGATGGCCATCTAGGAAGCAGGCCTTCACATGGTGAGTATCTCCGCACCTTGATCTTAATCTCACAGCCTCAAGAACTGTGAGAAATAAATTTCTGTGGTTTATAAGCCAGCCAGTTTATGATATTTTGTTATAGCAGCCCAAACAGACTAAGACATTAACTCTAAGAAAAATATTAATCAATTTTTTTACAAAGTAAGGGGAAGAAGGAAGGGCCAAAGATGGCTGAGTAGAAACAATGCCTGTCTAAAGCTCCCACCGAGAGGAACGCAAAAGGCAAGTGATTTCTGCCCTTCCAGCTGAGGTACCCATGTTCTTTCATTAGAACTGACTAGGTGGTTGGTGTAACCCGTGAAGAGCAAGGAA